CTGGCTCGTGTTAACTGAGTGTGAGTGTATTACTTGAAACAAGGGAGTAGTCATCTACAATTGTGTCAACGACTTCTTTGGAAGTCTCGGCTGTGCCGATGCATTTCTTAAAGACTATGTAAATAGAGGGAGTTCAAAGGCGTTTGCCTATATTTCCTTTAATAAACTTGACTTGAATTGACTTGTCAGCCCGTCATATCCAGACCCGAGCCTCGAACTCGCGACCTTTTTGATTAGATTCAAACGCTCAAATGATTGGGCCACGAGCTCGTTGTTGCGCCGGTTTAGCTCAGGGGATATTAACACTCGTTGATGAAAGTTCGCGTGACCACTGACGAAACTCATCTGTCCCGCCCTGCCTTGGGCCTCGGGAGAGGCCCTGACAGCCATAATAGCCTGTAGTAAGCGGATAGTATAGTATGGTAGAAATGGATGAAAACGGCCAGATCTCCTGAAATGGTGTTGGAATATGTATTCGAACCTTGGGCTCTTTGTTAGCGGCCGTGTCTAACATTGCATGCATATCCCTCTCCAAAATTCACTCAAGCACAATTTTCAAAGCAATTATAATTATGCTGCTTTATTAGGTCGGAGTTTTGCACGGGCAAGTTTTCTGTTCATTTACAACTTAAGTTTATTTAATTAAACCGATTTTTCACTTTTTCAGGATTTCCCGCTTTTATAAAACAAATGAGCGTTTCTAAACAACGTTATGTTAATTTCTCAACTTCAATATGCCTCCATTTTGAGAACAACCGTTCTTTTTTACCGGCGTAAGACTTTAGAGGACGCAGCTTGGTCTGAGGATGCGTAACAAGGGTTTTCCTATGAAACGCATGAAATTTCATGAGTTAGGATATCTCCTGTATACGGGGTGACAGTTTGACCGTCGATTTCAACGATGTCCACCGCGTGCTTCGGCATGCTGACGGCAAACGTGGTGACTTGGGCTTGGAACACTTCTAAATGATAGTAGACTTGCGAAGCATCTACTGCACACCTCCCCTCACCCACCTGTGCTCGGTATCAAAACAGAATTAAGAAGACTGGAGGCGGAATCGAGCGCAGGTTGCAGGATCTCCCAGTTGCGTGAGAGTGCTATAAAAGTCACATCAAGAAGGAGCCACTGCAGCCTGACTCGCAGTCCGCCCGTCAGCCAGTCACACAACAAAACACGCGGTGGACTGACCGCGCGGTCTGACTTTACGGTTGGCAATCCTACAAGCCACGGCTTTTAGCACACCATGATAGCTTCCAGCGCGTCTGATTGTTTATGGTGAGGAAAAATGCGCTGCGGTGTCGACCTTACTCTCTCCCCTACCACCAGTATCAAGTCACCGTCCAATTCGGTCGATCGTTTGGTGTGAGATGCGCGCAGTGGCTGGCAGAGCCGGTGAATCCGTATACGCACGGCGCAGCACAACCTGGTACAGCAAGGTTTACACAATCAGGCGATTAGGAGGAGCCGTCGTCATTTGACTTCCAGTCCAATCATTAGCTACTAAACATACAACACAAATTGGGCTGAAAGTGTGTCTAGTAAATGCGTTAGCTGGCTGCCTTCGCAGACTCAATCGCAGCCTCGCATCTAAATTGCATGCGGATTGGGCTGGGGAGCAGCCATACCCTCTGAGCTTACCTGTTTACTTATATGTATGCCTAAGGTCAAGTGGGAAAATTAAAGTGACCTATGTTGTCATAAACGGCACTGCCTTAAGCCAGTGGAATAACATTTCAAATCAGACATACGCAATGCCTTTTCTTCCCCTTACCTTGTAAAAGGTGTTTCCGCAACACCTCACACAACTCCGGGTGTCATCCAACCTCCTTGCAGTCTCGGTGAAAAAACTTTGTATGTACTGCGTTCGGACTGCCGCCTCCATGTCGCCTAGAACGTGGTGAACCTAGCGAAACCGAGCCACCTATAGGGGGCTCATGCATTTAAAAACCAACCTTTAAATAGCTTCGTGTGAACTCTAGTCGCATGTCTTCAATCAAATCCTGCAGTTCTGCGTTAGTTTCAATGTTGCTGGTATCGATGGTTCCGCCCAGGTTCAGAATTAGTTCCACGTTACAGGTTCCCGCGCAGATTAACACGTTCTCCAGCAGGCGTCTGCAGCCGTTGAGGTACTTGCCGTTGCCGGCATTTGTCTTGGAATAGCGGAGATTGTTGAAGACAAAGAGGCGACAGAATACTTCGCCTTGGCCAACCGGGGCATTTGGATTGTCGTCATAGAAATTCAGGTAGTGTCTATGCGGACCCGGGCAGGGAAAATTCGAAACGTATCGGTCCATCGGGCATTTTGGAAGAACGCTCTCGAACAAATCGTGACGCTCATTGGCCGACATTCTTGTGTGGAGACTCTGTAAACACAGAGGCGTGAAGTACGGAATTGACCTGAAAGTATTTTGCATGCGCAATGCAACACATAGTTAGGAAGAGCAGTCAGTGGGTATAAACATTTTAACCCCGGGTATCGTTAGACGCATCTTTCAAGGTCGATAATGGCCTTGTAACGTCCCTGTATCTATGTAAACCGACTTCAAAAACTAAACTAAATTCCCGGATCGACCCAGATACTAAGCGTTGGGATTCAAAAACAAAATAAAACATTATACAGGCGGAGAGCTTTATTAATTCAGTTATTTTTCCTATCTCCGGGACGACAGAGTAGAAGTTGTAAGACACTGGGCTTTTGTGGTGTTACAAACGCCTAAGAAATTGTCCTACTGTCGGTACTGGCGTTTCAAACATGACCCTCAATAGAGTAAAAACGCCAAACACACATGCGGGCAAGAAAAAGGCGTACTGGGCGTGGTAGGCAACAAAACGGAACTAATGCAGAGAATGAAATTTGTAATGATTGTCAAACTCATGTAAGTAATTGTGAAGATAATTCCAACAATAGTTGCAACGGTCATGCACATGATACTGGATTAAGCACCAATTTTTTGACCAGTCATCCATATTTTACTGCAGATTGCATAGGGAAAATGTGTTCAAGATAACATTTTTATTATTATACTCTATATTTGAACAAGCCAAGGATGAACTATATGAAACAAGTCGGCAAAAGTCGATTTATACCAGCGGCCCAGAGCTACCATGCGCAGCCGATTCATTAAATTCAACGACCTACTAAGTCATTAAGATGATATGAGAGAGTGTATCGCATCCCATGCCTGAACTGTCCTTGTTACTACACAGCTCAGATTATATGCATGCGCGGGTTGCGCATTCATAAGCATAATTTGACTGTGTGACGTAGCGAGCAAGTACCGCAAGTAGCTGCGCACATTAAGAAAACGTACCGTAAGTTCAACTTCTAAGTCATTAAGATAAGCATCCGCGCCGGAAACAAGACGAGCCGAAAATTGATTGAAGTTTGGTTTGCTGATGGGAAGTCAATCAATCAATGTATCGATTTGGCGCCAACGTACAGAGCCCTGCGCAGTCACGTTCAGACTTGAGTTATTGAGTTGATTGTACCCCTTACACACGTAGCTTTCCCTGTGGCTGCTGCTACTTCTGACGATGAACTCTTGCATGAGTTCGAAAGCTCAGAACAAAAAACAAGTTGTTTCAGTGCTCGGCCAACCATCTCCCTTACTCCTGCAAGCGCGTAGAAGGCGAACCTTCGTATCAATTCGTACGAAAAAGATAGGCGAATTGACAAAATGGCATATGCGCCACTGGTCTTCCAGGTAGGCTCATGACCCAAGCCTCAGTTCAATAATAAGTTCATCAGAAGATAACTACGGTCAGTGACCACTTTCATGTAGTGTCGAGCAAAATTCTTAATCGTCTTTTCTATTAGGAAGATAACCTAAATGACGTTATAATATTGATCATCGGATAGTACGATCACAAGATATTTGCGTCACATCGGGATGCCCTTAGAAACTTGAATGTTTTTTATACGTAAAATGCTCAAATATACATTATTGCACTCATCTAGTAAGTAAGCGTAGTTTCTAAATGCTACCAGGAAAAAATCCTCCAAAACTCAGAATCAGGACGTTACGGAAATATGATTTGATCAGACTGCATGATAATCCATTTTCCGTACCCAAGAAGGCAATCCCTCGCAATCGAAAGTAGACTTCAGAGTGGTCGTTAGAATATTATGAGATCGGCCACTGACTGCACGTTCTTAAGTTGTTGATCGCTCAATACTAAGGGGCGCACAGGAAAAAGGATCAATCCATGTCTCGTCAGATAGTATTTCTCGCAAAGACAAGGGGACTAGAATGGCTATTTCTGGCTTATTAGCCGTCGTCAGCCAGTCATGCCCAGCCCCAAGTGCTACAATACTTGAGCCCTTAACTCGCAATCTTTCGATATGAAGTCTAAAGCGCTAAACATTGAGTCACAAGCACGTTATTTTGTCGGTTTATATCGGGAGATATTCACACTCGTTCATTGACGTTCTCGATCACTCACGAAAGTCGTCCCGCTCTCCCTTTGGGATTCATTATCGAGCACCGCCATCCGCCGCATAGTGGCTAGTAATCTAAGCAGTCCGGCTTTTTTCATTAGTTTATCGTATAAGCAAACATAAAGAATGTGATTTGTTCATCCTTTACCTAGTCATCCTACTTGCAGGGTGAAATTTAATAGTTGCTCTACGCTATGACTCCCTTTTAATAAAGAGCTGCAAAGCAAAAGGGAATATTATTTCAAGTGACATTATACAACAAAATGTCCACTGTCTTGACTGGCCGCTACAGCTGCTATCTCCAACATCTAACTGCCAATCAGCAACCAATAGTTTGCCGTCTGTTAAAGTGTAGCGGTCTAGGATGGGAGATCTACTACAACCACTACACTAAGAGTATT